GCATTCCTTTGGATGTGTGTATTGTGAAGACCTGTGTATCAATGCATGTTTGTATTTGAGTCTGTGTGAATGCTCTTGTGCATGTCTGGATGACTAAATGTGCTTTTTTGTATATAGGGTCAGTGTGAATGCATATGACAAGTGACAGAGTGTGTGAGGGAGAAGGTGACAGGTGGAAGAGTGTGGGAGGTTGTGACAGGTGGCAGAGTGAGGGAGGGGTTGAGTGGTGGCAGAGTGAGGGGGAGACAGTGAGTGGGTGACAGTGAGTGGGTGTGACTGGTGACAGAGTGAGGGAGTGGGTGACTAGTGACAGAGGGAGGGAGATAGGGGTGACTAGTGACAGAGTGAGGGAATGGGTGACTAGTGGCAGAGTGAGGGAGGGAAGAGATGACTAGTGGCAAAGTGAGGGAGGGAAGGGGTGACTAGTGACAGAGTGAGGGGGGTGACTGTCACTAGTCACCCCATCCCTCTCTCTGTCACTAGTCACTCCCTCCCTAACTCTGTCACTGTGTCACCCGCTCCCTCTCTCTGTCACTAGTCACCCCATCCCTCTCTCTGTCACTGTGAAGGAAGGAAGGGGTGACTGGTGACAGAGTGAGGGAAGGGATGACTAGTGGCAGAGTGAGGGAAGGAAGGGATGACTGGTGACAGAGTGAAAGAGGGGGTGACTATCACTAGTCACCCCATCCCTCACTCTGTCACTAGTCACCCCCTCTCTCACTCTGTCACTAGTCACCCCCTTCCCTCTCTCTGTCACTCCCTCACTCTGTCACTAAGGACAGAGGGGGTGTTTAGTGACAGAGTTAGGAGGGAGTGACTAGTGACAGAGAGAGGGATGGGGTGACTAGTGACAGTCACCCCCTCCCTCACTCTGTCACTAGTCACCCCCTTCCCTCTCTCTGTCACTCCCTCACTCTGTCACTAGAGTGAGGGAAGGGGTGACTAGTGGCAGAGTGAGGGAAGGAAGGGGTGACTAGTGACAAAGTGAGGGAGGTGGTGACTGTCACTAGTCACCCCCTCCCTCACTCTGTCACTAGTCACCACCTCCCTCTGTCACTACTCCCTCCCTCCTTCTGTCACTAGTCACCCCCTCCCTCACTCTGTCACCTGTCACCCCCTCACTCTGTCACTAGTCACCCCCTTACTCTAGTGACAGAGTGAGGGACGGGGTGACTAGTGACAGAGTGAGAGAGAGGGTGACACAGTGACAGAGTGAGGGAGGGGGTGACTAGTGACAGAGTGAGGGAGGTGGTGACTGTCACTAGTCACCCCCTTCCCTCCCTCTGTCACTAGTCACCCCTTCCTCACTTTGTCACTAGTCACCCCTTCCCTCCCTAACTCTGTCACTAGTCACCACTTCCCTCCCTCACTCTGTCACTAGTCACCCCCTCCCTCATTGTCACTAGAGTGAGGGGGTGACTAGTGACAGAGTGAGGGAGGTGGTGACTGTCACAAGTCATTACCTCCCTCCCTCTGTCACTAGTCACCACCTCCCTCTGTCACTACTCAATCCCTCCTTCTGTCACTAGTCACCCCCTTTGTCCCTTACTCTGTCACTAGTCACCCCCTAACTCACTCTGTCACTAGTCACCCCCTCACTCTGTCACTAGTCATCCCCCTCTCTCACTCTGTCACCAGTCATCTGCTCACTCTGTCATCAGTCACCCCTTCCTTCCCTCACTCTGCCACTAGTCACCCCTTCCCTCACTCTGTCACTAGTCATCCCCTCACTCTAGTGACAGAGTGAGGGAGGGTGTGAGTAGTGACAGAGTGAGGGAGAGGGTGACTAGTGACAGAGTGAGGGGATGATTAGTGACAGAGTGAGGGAGGGAATGGGTGACCAGTGACAGAGTGAGGGGGGGTGACTAGTGAGGGAGGGGGTGACTAGTGACAGAATGAGGGAGGGGGTGACTATTGACAGAGGGAGGGAGATGGTGACTGTCACTAGTCACCCCATCCCTCCCTCTGTCACTAGTCACTCCCTCCCTAACTCTGTCACTAGTCATCCCCTCCCTCACTCTGTCACCAGTCACCCCATCCCTCCCTCTGTCACTGTGTCACCCCATCCCGCCCTCTGTCACTAGTCACTCCCTCCCTAACTAGTCACCCCCTCCCTCTGTCACTAGTCACACTCTCCCTCACTCTGTCACTAGAGTGAGTGGGTGACTAGTGACAGAGTGAGGGAGGGGATGACAAGTGACAGAGGGAGGGGGTGACTAGTGACAGCGAGGGAGTGACTAGTGACAAAGTGAGGGAGGGAAGGGGTGACTAGCGACAAAGTGAGGGAGGGAAGGGGTGACAGAGTGAGTGAGGGAAGGGATGACTAGTGACACAGTGAGGGGGGGTGACTAGTGACAGTGAGGGGGGTGACTAGTGACACAGTGAGGAGGTGACTGGTGACAGTGGGGG